ATGTTATATAGGGATGTTTTCATTAATGAATAATCACCTGACCTGTCCTAGCCCAGGACGGACAAACCAAGCCTCTTATGTTTTCTCCTACACGTTTGGGTTTAGGCGAGTGGTCTCAGTTGGTTGCAACTAAATCCTACACACTGGACCTTTTAAGTTAAAGTACAGGAGTATTATTGATGTACTTAAAAGCATCAAGTGCCCATTCTGTAGATTGACATATCATTTTATATTCAATGATTAGACTCAGTGTGTAAGTAACATTTAACTGTAGTTAGTTGAGGTGGAGCTGGTTAAAACTACATTATATACAGTTGTAGTAGCAGTGAGTCCAGTGGTTGTCAACCTCGACCACCTCCAGAGGGTCACACAATGTATCTGAGGGGTCATGAGATGATTAATGGGAGAGGAAAGAAGAGAAAACTAATTTCTTCTACTTTGGTGAAGTATTGAGCCTCAAAATGTTTAATTAAAACCATCTGAGAAGTTTTTTTTATAAGAGATCCACTGGAAAAGCTGTGCTACACTAAATGGAACAGAGCCTTTATTAATAGCATCGGTAACAACTGTTTCTACCCGACTACTTCACGTCAGAAATGGCCCGCTGTGAAAAAGGTCTATTACTGTCTTAAATTGAACACAGACTTGCAGTTAAATATTTCATACCAAGAAACCATGAATAAGTAATAGCATGGCAGTAGTAATAAGACTAACTGAAGTGTGTGTGTGTGTGTGTGTGTGTGTGTGTGTGTGTGTGTGTGTGTGTGTGGCGCAGCTCAACAGATTAGTGAACCATTTCTGGGCAGCCGACTACAATAGGTGCTGTGACTAAGACTCAGCCTGTTTTCTTTCACTTTGACGTCTTATTGACAGAAGCAAAGCAAGTAATGTTTGTTTATCTTTATTCTACAACCAGAAAAACTACTCAAACACAGATTTGTCAGTTGCCAATCACTGTTCTGTACAGACGTGCAGGGTCACACTGCTCTGGATCCGGTGGACCTACCTTGCCCTCATCGTCAGAAAGACCCAAGTAGGTGTCCCAGATCCTGAACCCGTAGTGGAGCTCAGGGAAACGCACTTCTTGGACTTTCACTCCGAGGTCGGCCTCCAGACGCTCCACCACCTGCAGAACATTTAGATGGTTTTAACTCCAAGAAACCTTCCAGTTCCTCCTCGTTTTGCAGTGTTTGAGCGATGGATTCAACAAACCTTGCTCTGAATCTCAACCAGCTCTCTGCTGACAGGGTATGTGGAAGGAGAGCCGCCATCGTCAGGGACGGTGAAGAACCGCAGCTTCTTTAGGTCGACCTTAGTGTTTAAGGACAACCTGTGTACACGCGTAAACAAATAACTTTAGAGGGAACAACAGAGTGGTCCAGACCTGCTGGACGAGTCACAGTGAATCTTGGGGAATTTAGAGTTTAAATATGACACTGAAATGAAGCACGGCAACTTCTGCATTTCACTTTCTGCTAAACTTGTTTTTTCCCCCGTCTGTTTTCTTTCTGCATTCATCAAGAAGTTTACAACAAGTCTGTCCGGTTAAAAGGGTTTAGTGGATCTCAGTTGAAATGCTTGTATGAGAAAAACTCATAGTAGGCTTTTAAAGGATATATATTCCCTCCCGTTGCCTGCAAGTAAGCCTATGATAGCAGTGTGTGCTGCGTCAGGCCTCCAGACCGCCACCATTTAGCCGCATTTTGCAACCATTTTTGGAGACGGTATTTCTAATTTTATAACTAGGAGGCGAAAATACGCCTCCCATTTTTATTTTCTATTTTTAAAATCATCATGTGAAACACGAGGAGGGAGCAAGTATTGAGGTGTGTGTGTGTGTGTGTGTGTGTGTTAGTGGTGTAACTGAATGTAGTTAATACACGATCCTTCAACCGTAACATTATTTTGGCCACAGCACAGGTTAAAATATAATTTTAAATTTCCAGGACAAAAAAGGTTATTTCCAGGATATTATACATTTATTAAAACATTTCCAGGTGTTGTTTGGAAAGTCTCTAAAGTTCCAGGTTTTCCAGGATGCATGAAAACTTTTCCCTGTTGGCTGTGATTTAGGGAATTTTCAGTGGTGTAACTGCATCCTTGCTGGGCAGCTGGACTTCAGCACTTGTGCCCAAACAACAGATCAGACTGATCAGCGTCCTATAAGGAACACTAGGTGTGTGTGACGACGTGTGTGAGAGGTGACTGTTAGTGCAAAAACAACAATGGCAGCTGCTAAAGGCTAGAACCAGTTATATCAGAGACTATTTCTTCATTAAGAGAAGAGCAAACAAAGGCACGTCAGTAAAAGCTTCTCTGGAGCACTGAGGGTGTATTTGGAGGTTTAAACTTACATGTGAGTGTTGGGTTCTGCCATGATCTTGAGCATGGGCAACAGGTCCTCAGAGTAGCGGCACATGGGACCGAGGCTGAGGTACTCCTTGTCCCTGCCAGAGGCAGGAGGGTACTGGTTCTCACAGGTGATGACACCTGCAGAAACACATCACAGTTACAGTGAATTCTGGTATATAAATGTGTTCTTTAAACCTTCAATAACTGGGGGGGAAAAACAGCTGCATTAATATAACATTTACTTTCTCTTACCAGGAGTGGTTTTATGGCCAAATACTCCGTTGAAGAAACACGGCATACGGATGCTGCCGCCGATGTCCGAGCCCACGCCGATGACCGAGCCCGCTGCTCCGAGTATACTGCCCTCCCCACCTGAGGCAGGCAGAGGAAAGAGGAGATACGTTGGTGGATTTAACTTCTCCATGCTTTCCCCCTCGGGTTAGGTTCTTTAACATGTGAAGGACTTAAGTATATTTTATTTGAATGCAACTTTCCCAACTCCAACATTAATGAAATACAGTAAGAATGAGAAAGAAGCTTAAGTTTCACAGTTCTTATTATGGTCTCTAAGTCATTTTCCATTGTTTGTTGCACTGCCACTTCTTTATGGTATGTTCCACCTAAATCTGCACATCTTGAGGCTTTGTCATGACTTGCAGTTTTTCCCCCGTGGGGCGTAAAGTGTAGCAGAAACAGTGAGGTAATTGACCTCTGACCCATGTACATGCAGTTTGACTGACATTAAATACAGTCCTGTGTTGACAGCTGAGCCTTCCCTGCTTTCTTCAAAGGGATAAAAACACAGATTTTCAGAAAAGAGTTTGTCCTGCGGTGATTTCACATTTGAAAAGTAAAGTCAATCCAAAAGAGGGACTCTGTCTCAATGCTGTTTATAAATACATTTAAAGAGAAAGAGAGACCTATATTTTAAATTATTATCACTTGAGAAACACAAAGATCTACAGTATAACTGACTCAAATAAACTATACATTTAAGTAGACAAACAATATTAAATTGGCCTTTTAATCAACACAATATAACATGTCAGCATTAAAGGAGTACTCCACTGCTTTAACATTGCGCTCCCACAACACTCTTGTCAATAAATGCAACTAGACCGGTTGGAGATTTGGGTGAACTATGGTTATAACAGCTAATGTAGCCTCGAGCTGTCCAACCCGCTGTTCACACACGTAACCTCAAGCAGAGATGAGGAATGGGCTACAGAGGTCTCAATTCTTACTTCCACACCCTTAAAAGTGTTTCCATCTTCAAACTTGAGGACTGTTCTTAAACCTAAAGCAAGACCTGTAAACAGATTTCCCCTTTAAGGAACCAGAGCCTCTGTGTGTGTGTGTGTGTGTGTGTGTGTGTGTGTGTGTGTGTGTGTGTGTGTGTGTGTGTGTGTGTGTGCTGTGTGTCTGTCTGTGTGTCTGTCTGCAGTGTTTTATTATTATCAGGGAGGGCCACTCCAACAATAAGCAGTTCTGAATAAATGCTTCTCGACCCTTCAACTCACCACTGAGTCGTTAAACCAACTAGTTGCTAACCTGAACTTCCTCCAACCATCCTCTCCAGGTCGTACGGGTTGTTGGTGATGCCGTAGAGGTGGTTGTGGGTCTCCCACCACATACACAGCTCAGGCGTGTTGGTGACGCCCAGCGGGATGGCCCCCGCCCTCTTCAGCTGGACCAGCGGCGGAGCGTCGACGGTGGCCACAATTCCTCGTCTGGAGACCACACCTGTAGTGTTGGGCATGCCTGTAAAATGGAAAATAAAAGTCTTTTTTATTTGTTGGAAATGCTGATTTTCATCTCGAGCACAACATGTTCAAGTTACGATGTCTCCACTGAACAGAAACTGGGTCAAGGGGCTCAAACACGTCACATTATTTGTTGTATGTAGTCAAAGCACCTGGTTTCAAATGACTGACAGGAGATAAGATTTCTGGAATTTACCCTGGAGGCAGTAAGACTCTTTAACAGAGAGTGGGACTCCCAGTAAAGGCAGTCGGTCCTCCAGCACCTCTTCTCCACCAGTTTCCTCCTCGATCAGCTTGTCAACCTGAGCCGCTTCCTGGAGGGCAGCATCGAACCTGGACGGAGGGAGAAGTAAACTATTTGACCCAATTCTGTTTAATTCCTGATTAAAAAGGCTAAATTTTAAATTGATTATAGTGGAAACTGTAAATGTGGCAACTAATACTAATAATAAGTAAATTTTGCACAGTAAAGTTAAAAGGAGATAAGAAATAATTATTAATAAATAAACATAAGAGCACAATAGAGATGCAGCTAATGATTATTTTCTAGATTCAAATAGTAACAAATGCCTGTTTTAATCTACAACAGCCCAATGTAGCGTCTTTAAATGTCTTTATTTGTCCAAACATCAGTCCAAAACCCCCAAAAATATTAAGTTTACTATCTTATACAACAAAGAAAACCATCAAATCCTCACATTTGAGAAGCAAAACGATTATTTATTCTCTGCCGATCGATTAATCGACTCAACAAACAGTAAAAGATCAAAGTAAAAGCATCAGATTGGGAGGAATGAGTCTTTCTTGCCTGTCTTTTACAACAGCGTTCACAAGAGGGTTGACCTCCTGGATCCTGTCTATGTAAGCCTGAACCACCTCTACACTTGACACCTGCAGAAACACAGAATATAGAATATATAGGTGAGACAAACACACACACACACACACACACACACACACACAATAGAGTCACAGACCAGAAAAACAAGTCGTCCTACAAATGGGGAGGAAGAAAAGGAAAAGATTATTCTTTGTAAATGAGTAGATTTAGACTCTTTTAAGGTAGATTACTGTTCTAATTTTAATCAATTGATTAATAACAAGTTTACAATATTTAATAAATAGCATCTCAGGTGACATCCAGAAGGTTTTCTATCACATAAGGTTATAGTTTATAAGCTGAAATGAATTAATTTGTGCCTTAAAAATAACATGAATGAACAATTTATTATTAAAATGATCGACTAATTGATTGATTAACTGATTAATCGACTGTCTCCCCCTCTGCAATATACTGAGGATGCCTTACAACAATAATGCAGTATTAAACATATACCTGTGTTTTATTAACATTAATATAGCACCTGCAGCCGGGTTACTGTATGTCACTGTAGGATTTTATTATCCCCACTTTATGTTGTGTGTTTAATGATAAGAAGCTGTATGTTATTACACAGCTGGAGGTTTGCACAAGAAAATAAACTCCAGGGGGAAAAAGACCTCCAAAGAGTTGAGCAGAGGCTGTAAAGAGGGTTTTATTATTGGAAATCTACAGACCAGCTAATAACAACAACAGCTTGTGCAACTTTAGTGATTCTAAACAAACAATAACCTAAAGAAGAGACTACTGCAGGTAAACAAAGTGTGTGTCCTGCAGCAGTCGCCACTTCGGGTACACACCTCTTTACGCCGGATCTTCTTGGCGAGCTGCGTCGCCGACAGGAGCAGCAGCGGGTTGCTGACGGCCGGGAGCTTCTTCCCGGACATCGCCGGTCTCCGAGGGGAGAACAGCTGGAAGAGCAGGGAAAAGGCTCCGAGGAGCGCCCGGCTGAACCACACATAGAGCTTGTCCAGGAGGCCCTGAGACATGTTTCCACCGCGGAGAGGAAGACAGGGGGGTTTATTTAGAGCCTGCTGTCAACGAAAGACGTCCTCCTGGTGAGACAGAGGCTGTGATATATATGTCAGCACAGCGTGAGACAGCAAGTGAGCGCAGGTTAGGGAGGCTGACCACCGGAACCTTCAAAATAAAAGCATAGCGACGTTTATTTCTGCTGGTCAGTGGTGAAATGCAACAAGTATATTTACTCAAGTACTTTATTAAAGTATAATTAGATTTTACTTATTTTTTTCCCCCCTTTGTATGCTTCTAGTGGGGCCTGAAGAAGTGGATGTACTCTTGATTTATGCCCTGATGTTTTTTTTAGGATGTTAGTAACCTTGTTGTAGTCATTTTTGTATCATAAGGACAGACACAGATAGTAGAGGCCCTGCTATATACTTTAATGGTGTTTTAATGAGATACAGGATGTGTCTGATATCAGTGACATGAAGCAGGAAGTCTGTTCTGTGATATGTCAATGTTCGGATGTGGTGTGGGTGTATTAAGGCTGTGTCTTCTCCTGTGTTGAATGAGGAAGTCTTTGTCTTCTTAATTGCAGATCAACTTGTTGCGTTCAACTTTTCTGCTCGTGGTCCAGAAGGTCTTCCCTTTCAGTGACTCTTCCTCTGAATCAGCACTGGCTCACAGACTACAGGGTGAGACGACTACAAGTATCCCTTATTCCATCCACTCATGAATATTGGACAACTATGTGATGCCTTTGCCATCATAGAAATACATACAAATACATGTCTTGTTTCACTTACCTTACGTCTATCACTTAGTGTAAAATGTGGCCATAACAGATCATCAAATTATAGGTTTAATCTCTGTTTTTTAACTCGTTTTTTTTTAAAATTTAATCCGACTTAATATGCGAAATTTGACAACACGTGACACCAACATTGTAGTTTTTACTCCACTAAATTGATTTCGCAGCTTTAGTTATCAGTTACGTTTAAGATTAAGATAAAACATTAGATAAGCTTATAAAATACAATACATTTTTATGGATTAAAGCAACCTTTTTGGCTTGTTACCATGAGTTGTTGAAGAGACATTTCATTTAAACAACTGCTCAGCATTAGTAGGAATAGTTGAGTTTTATTTTGAAAATTAAGACCGGAATACAGTATATGATTGATTTTGTCTAGGATGACTATGACCCATATCAGCCTACAGCTAAAGTTAAAGTGTAACCTATGAATTTAAAGTATGAATGCTTTACTGTCTGTGTTAAACTGGTATTTGCATTGTACATTTAGAGATAACATTCACACAGACCAGAATTAAACTGTAATAAAAATACAATTAAATATAAGATTAAAACATCACAAACAGTGGGGGAGTAATTTATGAGGGGAGGCCGACTCCCTCTGCTCTGCTGTGGGTGTGACCTGTTTAATCCAAGCAGAAGCGAGGGATGCAAAATGTTGTACATTGTGTTCATGTTCTAGTTACCTACTGCAGCTTTGGGCTTATTTCCATGCAAAGTTAAGACAGCTATGCAGTTTAGCTCCCAGCCATTACTCAAGCAATGCAATTAATCACCCAGCTTACTCTACATTTTGCCTCCTTCGTCCCCACGTTTCCAACTCTTCATACTCTTTCATGCTTTAAGCCAGAATCTCCATACAAACCTTATAATGTTCCACATAATAACCCAAAAGAGACACATTTCTCTCTCATACATGCAAACACATTTAATTTGGACGTTGGCTATATGTCCTGATGTGCTCCTTCATCACCATGAACACTCCTACTTTTGGAATAAGAGATAAGAGACAATGTGAGTGCAGCAGACTAAGTGTTTATTCAAAGTGTGAATATTTCTGCCACTGATAAAGTCCGAGCACAAACTCCTAATTGATTCTGTGCGTAAAAGTTTGGACATGTTTGAAGTTCCTGCTTCTGTTCCTGTGGGTTAACTTGTAGTCACTTGTTTTGTAGGTCAGCCGGAGCCAAGCCTGTCATTCAACAGCACTGACCAATTGCTTTGAGAGGTACAGGCTGTATAACCAGAGCGCCACTCCCTTCTATAGCCTGTTGTTCTATACCTGGAAGGAGCAGTCGTGTGGCAACCTGTGATCTTGTAGTGTGTGTTGTAGTTAGTTAGTACAGCCCCCTCGCCCACACAGAATAACAGGACCATACTGTGTGTGTGTGTGTGTGTGTGTGTGTGTGTGTGTGTGTGTGTGTGTGTGTGTGTGTGTGGCAACTCATTACCTGTGTTTACTTATATGATAGATGCAGTATTATAAATCTACGCTGTATAGTATAGAAGTATCTAACATTTGCCCCACATGAGTGAACTACAACATTAAAACGCTAAAAAATATAATATTCTGTAATAATACGACGCTGTGAAAAGATCCATTCTGCACAGTTGACTTTAACTTTTAGTACATTTTGCTGATAATATTTAAGTTTGAATTCAGGACTTTTACTTGTAATGGAGTACTTTTAGACTATAGTGTTTCTACTTTTAATAGAGAGTGTCCAGCTGTGTATGACATATTAAAAGTAGATCCTCCTTTAGCTTGCACATTAATATAATAATTATAATCCAATATAATACACATTATTTAGACAAAATAGGCTCCAATGAAGTACCAGTCTGTCGACACTAGAGGGCAGCATTGATAAAGACTTTAATTCCTACTTGAACATGCAGATCATGTAGCAAAAAGAAGAAGAAAAAACTGCCTCTGCAATGCAGGTCAGTGGGTTAGAGGAGAATCCATACTGACAGTGTTTGTTACAGTCAGCTCATCCTGCACCACCAACCCAATCATCACACTGTGCACATCCAATGAATTATGTTGTTTAACCGACTGAAAGACTAAAACTGCATTTTAAACTTTACCTAAAGCAGCTTTTGATAACATCTTATCTGCCCGTTCTTGCCTTTTATCTCATATCTCATATCTCTTGCTTCATTTCTCTTCTTCCTCCAAAATAAACAGACCCAGCGTGGTTAAAGATCAGTGGTGGAAAACAATAAGTACACTGAAAAATAGTAATATAAAATAAATATATATATACTGATGCATGTTTGTATAAAAACTTGTAAAGGAGCTGCTTGATAGCATCTTTGTGATAGAAAACACTACACTGGCCTGAAAAGTGTTAATAACTAATGAGAGGGGGTTTGTGCATTAGTCATGAAACTATGTGAATAAAAGAAATGTGAAATCAATAAAATCCACAGAATGGCGTCAACACCCTGCTGAGCTATTTATTGATCCTCTTATTTCAGGAGGGACCTCATTTCACGGCCAGTTTTGAGATTAAGAAGTAACCCATAGAGGCAGGAAATTATAGTTAAAATCCTGCCAACTGAAGGAAGTGGATGTTTTGCACACTTTGAAATGTTGCAACGTTTTGTGACTTACTGCCTGTTAACCCATTATCACATAGCTGAGAGGCAATACTTACCTATAAACTGTATTTTCTGTTGACAACATGAAGTGACAGTCACAGAATTAAAAGATAAATACTCCTCAAAGGGTTACTCGGAATCACAATCCCAACCAAGTGGAGAAAAACAGATCATTCCTCACCTGTAAGGTGAAACCCGAGGCTCAGAAAACTACCGGGCATGTAGAGACAAGAGGGGAAAAAAACAGAAAACACGCAATCGACAATGTTTGTATCCCTGTGTGAAGCTGCAGGAGACGTGCATGCTGTCTGGGAAAGTGCATGAAGCCAATGTAACTGCAGTTAACGGCCCATTATTTAGAGATTATGTTGTGTCTTTAGCATGTGCCTTTATGGGAAGGTAAAGCCTTTGTGAATGCAGAGCCTTCGGGGTAAAATGATACTGGGTCAGGGAACAACAGAGGATGGCTTTGGGCACTTTTGTATTGATCTCCATCTTTCTTCCTGTCTCTGTCACAGGATATACGTACACATGCAATCCACCTATAGCTCAGTATTTTGACTCTTAACTCCAGCACTCACTGTTCTCCCTGGAAACAACCAAATGGATCACATATATTTAATTCTCCTAATGAGATAACAGAGGAAACACCCCCCCCGTCTGGTTCCAGTCATCTCTGAGTGGACAGTAATTTACTTTACTGTTCCCTTCAGACGGAACGATGATCCACTTTCCTGCACCTTCACTCTGCCCTGGAGACCAGTGTAGGCTGATATGTTTTCCCCTTGGGGTTAAAGAGCTTACTGTGTGTGTCTGTTTGTGTGCCTAAGCGACAATTTTCATTACTTAAAAGTACAAGTACTCAATGTTTTACCCAGATTGTTCTTCACAGAGTGGGAAAAGTGTGTAAAACATCCTGGGGAATTTTACACTAAAATTACATTTAATTAAGATTTTTGAGAGGTTTCAGCTGCTTAGTAATGCAATTCAGTGTTTGTGCAAAAATGTGCAAAGAAAGTAACATTTTCTGGCTGTGTGTCTACAGCCCGTGTTTGGTTTGTCTGTTCTGGGCTACTGTAGAAACATGATGGTTCAACATGGTGGATGCTGTAGCAGAGGACCTGCAGCCTCTGTAGATAAAATCAGCTCATTCTAAGGTAACAAAAACACAACAATTCTTATTTTTAGGTGATTATACACTAACAAAAACATACCTATTATTATTATATTCACTTTCCAACAATAGATCGTCCTTAATGTTGCACTCCGGACCTTTAAAATTTAAAATAATTCAATCAATATCTGAAATTAATGTGAAACTGGGACATGAAAAACATTGTTTACAAACAGTATGAAGAAAAACAACTAAATAATTTCTCTTAGCTCTGTGGATTTCTTATGATATAATTTCCTACTTTCATTTTAATTTTAATTTTCCTACTTTGATTCTTTGGTCAAATAATCATCACACCATCAGTACAAAGCAAAACATGTCGGATGTTTTGAACCATTTACAGATATGACCTGTAAATTATTGTTAATTCTATATATCCCCCTTCTTTTAATTGCTCAGAATATTAAATAGTGTGTTAAGATGTAAGATTTATTCATTTATTCAGTTGTATTATACAAAAAAATCTTATTTATGTTTTTCTTTGCTTTATTTTAATTATTTTTTATTATTAAGTATGGAAATATTCCCCAAAAAACCAGAAGAAGAAGACAACCTTTAACCTTTAAAAGCCTTAATAGTCATTAATTATTGGGGCCTATTTTTAAAAGAAAAAAATATGAGGCTTTCTGTATTATATTGTGTATTTATAAGTGTGTTACATGTGGCTTCCCCCATCAGCAGCAGCTCCACTTGTCTATTTGTCTCCTTGGCAGCAGTCTTTCATCCACCATGGGAGGAGGGGAGGTGGAAGACGGAGGTGGTGGGGGGGCGTGATGGGGGAGCACCCCTCTGCTCCTCCTTTGGGGACTGCCATGTGCGGGCACATGAAACAGCTGGTGTGCTCCAAAAACCAATTATAGAGGCCCCTGGCCCCCCGCCTGGCTGCCTACAAGGCCAGGCAGAGTGTGATCGTTAGCACCCACAGATGAGTCTTAACGAGGGGCCGCCACTGGGTCGGTCAGATGGGAGTCACAGCAGGTTTCGGGATATAGATTTGTCCGGTCCCAGACCTGGATGTTTAAGGTTGAAATTGGAATTTTAAGATGCAGGAGAGGCTTGATGTTTTATTTACGTTGTACACTGTATTGAGAGTTTGGGGGTCCTGACCAGAGCGGTGTACAGATTTTACAGTCATATGTTTTTAATGAGGCAGAGCTCAGTGTTCGATATATATATCACAGATTGTTTGTATGCAAAAATATAAATGACAATATGAAGTAAGACAGGTTTGATCATTAAGTGGGTGAGATTTCCTTTCAGTCACCGTACCTGAGAGCTCAGTTTTAGTCCTGTGTTTTATTATTGTGCTCTGATTGATCTGTGTTGTGAAGGAAATCTGAACAGCTGAGGTGTTGGATGCAGCCGGAACGCGCTATTGATTCCCTTCCTACTGGCTGTTGTTAAAACTTTTCAGCAGGGGAGCTGATTGAGAACCACATGAGCCAGCCTCTTTATAATATACATTTGTTGTCCCTGGTGAGAGCAAGAGAAAGATGGACTCAGCTTGTAGTCTTACTATGATGGAAAAATGAATATATATAACTGATAGAAGGTTTGTAAGTAGAAAAATAAACTACTGTTTTCTTGTATCTTCAGTTAGGAGACAAATACAGGACTGTTGAAATCATATATTGGTTTGGTTTAATTTACTGACATTCTGATTTAGTGATAAAATACAATGTCTCTCCTTTTATCTCCAATAACATCATCGGACTCTGGAGGGCCAGTTTAAAAAAAAAAGCAGAAACAGATAAATCATGTTTTTTATTCTGCACATTCTTCTTAATCTGTCCAAACCTGGTGCCTACATTACCCACAATGCAACTTGACCACTGATAGTTCGGTCACAGACTTTAATGGTAGCAGCGACTAATGTATCCTCAGCCTAAAGTCTCGAGCAGACCTGTAAACAGACTTTGTGGTGTAAAATCTGTAAATTAAATAAGACTAAAGAAAAGCTCTGTGAGGCTGTACATGCTTTGAGCTTAATGCTGTTCACCATCTTAGTTTAGCACATAAGCATGTTAACATTTACTCACTGGCACTAAACACAAAGTAGAGCTGAGGCGAATGGGAATGTTACATGTGCTGGATGAAGAGTTTAGTCCTCATTCAAGTTATTACAATTCATCCTGGAGGAGACGTGAATGTCTGCACCAGATTTAATGGTAATTCATCCAGTGGTTGCTGAGACATTTCACTAAAAGCCCTGAATGTGTTTAACCTGCTGGAGGAAAAGTCAGGTGATCAATGAGGTTGTCAGTCTTCATCCTCTGAGCATCATGCTGTTGAGATATTTCAGTCTGGGCCAAAGAGGTTACAAAATGATTGACTGTTGTTCATATGGCTGCTATGGATGCATTATTTAATGTTTCAGTGAATAAAAAAAGTAAAAAAACAAATAAAGATATCCATGTTGTCTTAGAGAATACAATCTATTAGCCATTGTTGTGTTTGCCTTCAAGTTTGGGAGAATTTGGTGAGTTTGTCTTGTTGTTTGCTCTTGACACACATAGTTTAGGTACTTGAGTGATCGGTCTATAAAGACAACAGAAAGCCATCAAAGGAAAATCTCCGCCCGACAATATAAAGCCCCTCTAGCTGAGTTACCCTCAGACTGGTCAGAAAGGTCAGCGGGGGTCGACATAATCCCCCCTGTTACACATCTACACACACACACACACACACACACACAATGCATGAATGCTTGCACATAATCCCCACACACATGCTCACTGAAGCCCAAATATAACAGTCAGTGTGATAAATAAGTGATCAGCAGCACTAAATAATAAATACATATTATTATCGGCGACAATGGTGTGACTTTAGTGTCTTTTTTTTCCTCTGGCTTTAGGACAGAGCCAATAAAACCGACTGATAAATAATGCAGATGTGATGTCAGCTCAGGAGGACACGAACCTCCTCCTGAGCCGCTCGGAGAGAATCACACACCTCCAGCTGAATGTGTCGATGGTGTGTCAGTATGTAGCTGCGAGGTGTGAGATGGCTGCACGCTGTATGACACTTTCTTTTATGGCTGTGTAAAGAGCATTAATGTCAATGTCCACAAGTCAGGATCAACTTTATTTATTTTATTCTAACTTGAATTATATTATTCTGGTCCACTTAATGTCCCTCATTATGTTCTCCATTTGACTGTATAATTGCTTATTCCAATTTGCCTCCTTAAAGTGCTCTCTATAAAACTATTATTATGTCTCGCAGCCATTAAAAGTGCTTCATCTGAACTCTGCTGAGTGTCTGTATGAAATATATTAGACGCTGAATTTGTGGATCAAGACAATTTGGACTAATTCCAGCCAACACATCCCAGCTGGACTATCCATTTATTTGTTATACCCTCTTTTAATAACCACCTAACTGTTTCCCATCAGGCTCATTTCCTTTATTTCAACTAGAAAGTGTCCACTCTGCAGATTCATAGAAAGTCAGGTGTAGAGTTAAAAGTCCTTTTTATTGTGTTTTTGGTCTCAGCCCTCCAATTAATTTAATAAATACCACTTCAGCTTGACTACATTTATCTACAAGACATCATGTCTGTGCTCAGACAAGTCCTCGTTAATATCATGTTAATCCCTCAGATTTATCTTGTGACCAAAACAGAGAAAAATTGAGCATCTCGACCCTTTAACTGAGGCTGGACCAAAGCCTACTGGGCTAAAAGCTGTAGACGCACTGCATGCATCTTATTTTAATAATCATACATTTGTTAGTAAAAGTGCAATATCAACTGAGGCAGGTGCATTGTGTGCTGGGCCCCTCGGTCACAATGTAAGACAATTAAAACAAATTAATAATATAGTTTTTGTGCTTATGTGGAACACAGTCCTAATTAAAGTTGTGTTTAATCGAAGTAAAACTAAAGTAATTATACATATTATGATGTGATGGTCAACAGGGGCCCCCAGACCACTAAAGATCATAATGTCCATCCTCCTGGAGACTAAATCCAGAGATGATCTAATCAATAATACATAATAGTATCTATGTAGGGGCTCTGTATTCAGTAAACTGTGATTATATTCAGCACAAATACGACAGAGAGTTTGGGTTCTGTGGCACAACCAAACATAAAGGTGAGGACTGTGCCAGTGCAAAGCGCCCCCACAGGTGCATTTTTGCGGTGATCACGTGTTGACCCGCCCCGCCTTTCCCGCCTCCAATAAAGCAAAAGTCACCGCTCTTCTTCCTTCATGCTACCAAACCCACACACACACACACACACACACAGCGAGGCAGGCGCAGAGGAGCGGCGGCAGCAGCAGCGGGGACGTAAAACGAAACCTCTGAAGCCCGTGTGTGCGTGCGTGCGTGCGTGTGAGTGAGTGTGTGTGAAGATGATTAATTAGTAAAAATAAAGCTCTCGGTAACTGGACGCCGCAGCTGATCTGAGCTCGGTGCTCAGCAGAGGACACCGGCGCATGTGGAGGTTATGTTATTAAGAGAAGGCCAGGTGAGTCCGATCCTCTCGGCGCAGTTGTGCGTCAGCGTTTTTTGAACCATGAAGCTGATATAAAAGCTGAGTGTGTGTGTGTATGTGTATATCTACATATGTGTGTGTGTATGTGAGATAGTTTGTGTATCCGGAGGGGACTTTAGTGCGTGACAGACGAGCTCGCAAACTCAGCTCAGTTTGGCATCCATAATTTACAATCCGCAGCGGTCTGCAGGCTGCGTTGGAGATCCGCGACACGCAGGTTCCCGCACAGCATCCCGCAGGCTGCATGCGAGACCCTCAGTGTGACCGAGCGACCACGAACAGCCCGAGTGATTGGATCAGTGTTTAAAAGATTGTGTGTGTGTGCAAAGTGCAGGCAATAACAATGAGAGGAGATATCTTGCTGCATCCGCGGCTGTTATCACCGGGGGAACAGATAACGCGTCTAAACAGCCTCATTTACGATCAACTCTCTTTTTTTAATGCAATTAATGTTTTTATCACGCGCACCGCAATGTGACGCTGGTTGCAGATAAAAACGTGAAAACACAATTTGAGAGGAGCTGCAATCAAGCTTAATCACGCCTCGAAGCACTGTTAGTGAGAGTTTGTGTGATCTATAATCATTTGCCCGCACACTGATCAGATTATGTCTCCGCCGGTTTACTCCTCTAGTTGGGTTTAGATGTCGGTGCAAGCAAATGCGCACACACACGCACACACACACACACACACACACTTTATGATTGAGTGTATTAACACCCCCCCTGTTTCCGCCCCTCTCTTCACTCTCCCTCTTCAGTTTTAATAGGCTGCAGCGTCAGTGAGGCAGCTCTGTGCGCACTGGAAGCCCGGGATTCAATTGGTGGAACCAGGAGGGGAGCCCCGGCCTTTTCCACTGCAGGAGGAGCAGCGGAGTTAAGGAAACCGAGGGAGAGAGAGAGAGAGACAGACGCCGCTGCCAAGACAGCAGCAGCCTGCGCAGTTTCGAAAACGGCACAGCCTCCTCTGCTGCACGGCATGAGGGACTTCACCCAAACTGCGCACCGACTCTACAGGATGCACCGCTGCAGCTGCGTGCTCTGTTAAAGAGACTCAAGAGACGCAAACCTTGTTCCGGACCTGTGCAGGAATTTGACAGGAGGAATTAGGCCTAACCGGTCGCTGACCACAGCTGCGACATTTCCCCGCTGAGAGTTGATCATCCCTCCCCTCCACAGAGAGAGAGAGGGAGAGAGGGAGAGAGAGAGCCCTGCGCTGTGGCCTTGTAGCGGACATGGGAAATGTAAACAGTAGTCGGGCTGGATTTTAAACTACGCACACGTCCCACGTCCTCCTCCCGCCTCCTCCTCCACCTTCTCCTCCCGGGGCGTCCGAGATGGAGACGGAGAGGGTCAAGCCGGAGCAGGAGGGAGACGCAGAACCGCCCATGCACAGCGTCCACGGGACCAACCGGATCAGACCGTCCTCCTACCGGGCCCTGCGCAGCGCCGTGTCCAGCCTGGCCCGCATAGACGACTTCAGCTGCGAGAAGATCGGCGCCGGGTTCTTCTCCGAGGTCTTCAAGGTGAGATTAAGTGTGTATGTGGGGGGGTGAATGATTTTATGCACAAGCTGGCTTGAGGGCAGACTTTTAGTGATCACATCCTCCAGGTCTCCATGGTTACACATCATATTTTAAAGTGGGGGGTTTTGTTTGATTTTTATTTGAAGGTGATCACACAGAGTGTGAACTGATCGAAACTTTCTTGTCAGCCCCTGAGTTGAGCTGTTGACGTCCTGTTGACACTCTCTTTATATGACAGAAGTGGTATCCATGGCAACCTGCATCCTAAACCAACAACAAGAAGATGCTGAATAATTGCAGGAGGAAGTTGGTGATGTGAGTTTTTTTTCTTCTTCAAAGTCTGGCGTCAGGGTGGAAACTTACACCTCACCGTCCCAACTAAATGGTCCTCTGCTCGCCACACGTGTGTTTGCAGTGACCCACATGTTGCTCGAAGTGGACATGGGAGTGTTTTTGGTGTGTAAGTGGATACGGTCAGGACAGGTAGATCTGGCACACGTGTTTGGTAACTCTATACTCCTCCATCTCTGTTCAGATCCAGCCGCCTTCCTCCCTTTTGTCACGCCGCTGTTCACTTGCACAGGGACTCATTTTCAGGGTCGCCTGAGTTGCCACATACAGCCCGATACAGTGTGATGATGTTAGAGATGGCACAGCACCAAAAGAGAGCTGGCCAGGGAGTGCATCACTTTTTTAGGGGTTAACTTGCATTTTATTCTAAGAAGGATGAAATATTTAGTAGAAAATATTTGAATTCTCTGATTGGGATGCGGTAAAGGATCACAAGGATATAAAAAGTGTGTAAAAAGTCAAATCATCACATTTGGGACAATGGAAATAGAAGATATTTGGGATTTTTGCTTAAAAATAAATCATTCTTTGAGTTTTAAATGTATTTCAATCGACTAATCTATCAAATGTGGATCTTTCGAACAATATTTAGACTTGCTGGATATGAAGTAGGCAGCTGGTTTTCTAAAAATATGAATATTGGGACATTGTTTGAATTTCTCTCTGAATATTTAAATATCAGGCTGTGCTTTGATAAACTGCCTGATTACATGCAATAGTTTTGATAAAGGAGGATTTTCAAGCGCTGCCTCCCACTATATGTTGAAACACAAACTCTTTCGCTCAGGTTTATAGATGGATTTTTGTAAATTATTATTTTATATTGGTGCTCACCAAACTTGCATAGCACACAAATGTTTTTCAGTATTGCCAGGCAGGATCAATGAACACCACACATTTATAATATTACTGTGATTAGTCCACTTCTCCAGTCTACTGGAGTTGAGTCAAAACATGTACCAACCTTTTTTTTTTTTTAAATAAGTACTGAAACTATTAATCAATTGGCCAATCGAACAGACATAAGTGAACAGTTTTTGTAATCAATTAAGTTATTCAGAATAGAAACATTTGCCGTTTTCTGTTTCGCAAATGTGAGGATTTGCTGCTTTTCTGTTTTGTTTTTTTATCACTATAGGTTGATTTTTTTTATTTGGGGTTTTGTTTTGTTGACTGGACAGAAATCTATTAGATTCTCACTTTGGGCTCTTGGAAAGTTTTAAGTACATTTTTCACAATTTTTGGGATTAAAATAATCGTCAGTTGCCGCCCTTGTTGTGCAAAAATGTGGCAAAAACATTCGCTATAATCACACCGTGCATGTCATGTCTGGCAGTGACTCTACAGTATGTGAAATGAAGACAGTTGGCATTATTGTACTAGTAGCCACATGTGCACATCTGGATTTTTTGGGGGGAAATTTAGAGCAATTTGTGTTTTGTTATGTAGAGTGTAATTGGATCTTTTCTCCTCATATCACTCCTGCTTCAAACAACGGTGTCAGTGTTGTACAGAGTTCATGTTTCAGTGTGTAGTTCAAGGTCTGATGTATTTTTTCTATTTTTAGGGTTCTTAGACCCAGAAACTAGATTTAAATGACAAAAAAAACTGCTAACATGTGTTAAATGAATCCCAGAGGAGACACTTAAAGGCATTAAAAAAACTTGTATTGAACTCTGACCAAAGTCCAGCTCTCTTTGTTCACTTCCCTTTAATCACCAGCGTCGTTGTTGTAGTCATCAGTCATGTAAATAATCAAACTGACAGGAGGCCTTACTCTTTACTTTCAGCTGTAATACCTTCTTAAATTAAACAAACTTAAGAAGTATAACCTAGGATAATTCCAGGTAGTCAATAAGAGGTTATTAGGAGCTCCTTCATATACAGATGTAGGAGCGCTGCCAAGAGTGTGTGTGTGTCTGTGTGTCTGTGTCTTTCCTGCTTCCTCTTTCAAGGTACATGAGGTGGTTTTATGCATCTCCCAAGAAAATCAGGTGTTCTGGCCTTTAGGTTGAACACCAAGTTTTATTCAGGACAGTGAGATTTGGAAGGTTTTTATAAAGCAGAGAAAGCGCGGGGGGGGGGCAAACATGGATTCTTTCTTTCTTTTGCTGTTTCATGCACAGATGTGAAATTATGCACATAAACAAGTGACATGAAAACATGTGATAATGCACATAATGCTATATCTGTTTGTTTTGGCTTTTTGTTGAAGCTAATGATTATTCACAGATTAATCTCCTGAATACTTGGTCAATTGATTGCTTGGTCTATAAAATGTCAGAAAACTGTGAAAAATGACCATCACAAGTTTCCAGAGACAAAGTGGATGTGTTCAAAATGCTTAAACAACTCCAAAATATAACAAAGGAAAGCAATGTTTCACATTTTAGAGACTGTAACCGGACAATCTTCTGCATAAAAACTTACACTAGTCTACATTGATTTTCCTTTGGATCAGTTGGACTAATGGACTATTTCAGTTCAGCTCTGCTTTCTGTAAATGTGCCAGGAAGATGTCTCGCTGTATTTTAGATCTCTGACACAGTGTTGTCTCGTAACCCAAATGTGGGATGAGCCAAATGTTTGGCATGACGAGTAAATAGAAATTTACTATCACCTTCAGGTGTGGAGACCGTGATTCATACTTCCATATTTAAGCCTTGTGAGAGAGAGAGTTTAACAGGTATGAATTTAAATGGACAATCGAGTTTTAAAAATGCACCAGGCCAAGTCGACCCCCACCTCCCATTAGATAAGACGTTTTGTGTTGTGACTCCTCTCTTGGGTGCTTTGTGACAGAAAAAAAGACTCCAGTCCTCCCGAAGCCACTCCCACAGCTTTGCCCTTTGAATGGCCAATGAGCATGCAAATGTCACTGTGTTTATGGCTGGCTTGTCAAGTTTGCACTTCAAGTTTGGATCTTCTTGCCCTTTTGATAGCGCCATATAAATGCAAAGTTGTTACCGCAGCTATCAGTCACATTTAAAGTTTGCTGACAATGCTGACTGATCCATTATTCTCGTATCCTGGTCTGGTTCAGAGGACAAGGCCCCTGACTGTTCTGCAGGAGAAAAAAAAAACCTCTCTCAGATGTTTTGTTTATTAAATTTAGCAGTCCTAAACGTGTATATGGCACATTTACTTACATTCAGGCTTTTAAATGGATGTCCTGCACATGGATACAAAGGCTCTGGCCTCCTACTGCGTGTGTGTGCTGCTGTTGAGCTTCAGTCCTTTAGTGCAGATCAATGGAGGCTCGCGGCAGGCAGGCAGGCAGACAGGCAGCCATTCACCTCTCCAGTGTGCAATTGTGCGACCCAAAAAAAATAAGAGAGAGGAGAAAGGAAGGGAGCACACGTGTCGAGACAAATCCTTCAGGTGCTGTTTTTCATCTTCCTTTAATATTCTTCAAAGGGAAGTTCCTGGTGTGTGTGTGTCCTTGTGAATAACTCCTGCTTTTGTTTCTGTCGGTCCCTTAAACTCAATCTGAAAACCTGAAAGCTCAAAAGCGATAATAACCGCTCGATCACAAATTGCAACATCACTCAACAGTTCAGTTCAACCACAGGAAGCAATTATTTATTTGTTCTGTGTGTTTCTCAGAGCTTCACGGTGTCCTAAAGACAAACCGGTTGAATTGATTTCTAATTAGATTGTTCCTGCGTCATATTCCAGCTGTTTTCTCTACAGATAATCACTCTGTATGTTTGCTAATACAGATAACACCTGCTGTCTAAGAGCAAAGAAACACACAGAATAGGCTTCTTATCAGATTTGGTTGTCATTTACATGTGACATGGAAATCTCACGACATTGTTTTCAAAAGCTTCTACAGCGTCCCAGTTTGGTTGAAAGTGTCTTTAATTTGAAGTCTCATCTGTTTGGATCCGTTTCGGCCTTTTTAAGCTGCAATCAGATCACACAAACCTTTTTTTTTTTGTGGGTTTAAAATAAATATTTTTAGGCATTTTGGGGGAAAAAACACTCACTGTCTTGTTGCCTAGATGAGAAGATTGATGCAGCTTATTCCCTGAATCTAAAGCTACAGCCAGCAGCTGTTTGCTTAGTCAAAGCTAAGAAGTTCCACCTACAAGCACCTCTAAAGCTCATTAATTCATACACTTCTCGTTTGATAAATCTGTATGAAAACCGTTGTGATTTCTCCAGAATCGCTGGCTCTGCTTCATCAAACAGTAACATTTAATATTGCACTACTCCATTACTAGTCCATTACTAATAAATAAATGTAGTTTGTCTGTCCTGTTTCCTGAATGCAGGGATTTTACAGCCTGCTAACAAAACCTTTGTAACGTTTCTATAAAGAGATCTGTTGTTAGTCTGGTCACACCCCGGGTTCGTAGGTTGAGATAGTCTGATTGTCTCGTAGCTTCATATTCTTGAGAATTTCAGGGCAGATACCAATATTTGTCTTTGGTGGTTGTTGCGAAAAGTGGGAAGTAAAATTGAAATAAATTTCCATGAGTCACTTAGTGAAGATTTCTCCATAACAAACCTACTTATCATAGTGACTGGGATTTACCCTGATTAGAGTCTACTGATGGGGTGTGTGTGTGTGTGTGTGTGTGTGTGTGTGTGTGTGTGTGTGTGTGTGTGTGTGTGTGTGTGTGTGTGTGTGTGTGTGTGTG